TATGTAATGTATTGCTTCAGAGGCTATGATGATAAAATAAAAATGTTAATAGGTAAAAGAAGAAGATATAGATACCAAAATTTAACCAGAACAAAGGGAAATTGCGAACACTTTCAAGATACATCACAAGATTGTCCACAATGACCCAAATGTCTCCTTTTGTCACAGTTAGAACAATATGGACACCTGTAAAACTCAGTCAAGTGAGTCTTTCAAACTCAAATGTACGCTTGATGTATGCAGAATTAAATTGGTACTAAATCGGAACTAAATTTAAAAGGTTGCTGTGTGAAAGCAACACAGTATAATTTTTTTTGGTATCCAGCAAAGAAAGGTCTTGTGAATGCCTTGTTAAAATGAAGTACACTGGTCTTGTTCAGAAAGATATCTTAGGAAGCATGGCCATCTCCTTACATGATTTGATTCAAATGATTTAATAAATCCAGTCACTAAAATAATATCTTAATGGATGATATGATTCAAAATGCCAAAATAAAATTATTGCAAATAAAGAGGCATATAAAATTACATTCACATTCAGATACTGCTTTGTGATTTTGATGAAGAATAAGAAACAAAATATTACTCTAAATGGCTTAAACAAAACATTTCCTTTTTATTTGTTCCCTTTTCCCTCTCCTTATCCCTGACCTGTTTCTCCCTCTTCCATGCTGCTACTCACATCTTAACCATACACATTTTACATGTGAATGAGATTAAGAATTTATGACTCCAGAGATAAATGCATACACATACACTATAAATGATATTGTGCTGTTTTCTTTACACCTTATGATCTTATGAAGAATAAACCTTAAACATATCTTTCAAATAGGAATCATAACACAATACAATGCATTAAAAGTTATCAATGTAATTGGAATAAGATTTGGGGAATATCTGTACCAAGAAGTTACCTATAAGACACCAATGGAATGATTCTGGATTCCTTGGCATGATATTGAACATAAACAATCTATAAATCAATTAGTAAATCAATAAAAAAGGTCTGCAAAGGGATAGGACTGTTCTGAGTTGTTTATGATCACAGCTGAAATCCAAGGTCTTCAGTACAACAGTCAGCAGTTAATTCTGGAAAAAATTTTGAAGGAGAACTTTGGACGCTTTTTTTTTTTTTTGACCTAGGATGTATACTCATTCTTTCATGCAATACGTGCTTACACTCTTTCACTTCTACAGGGATAGAAGTTGACTAATCCTAGGTTTACAGAGTTGAGCATGAAACTTAATTATAGTTGAATGTTCAACGAAATAAAAAACTGTACATTCCTATAAATATTCATGATCAAGATTACTAACTTGGAATGGCCAAACTGTTGCAACACTAATTTTAGATTGGCTACTACCGGGCTCAGGATCTAATTTGTAAGTTATTGCTTGCTAATATGGAAGACTAAATGGGTATATATTTTATACAGACTTCATTCTTTGGTCTATTTGAGTTCTTACCATATTTTCTTCTGCCTAACATTTTAATTATCTTCATTGGAAGTCATGTGTAAAGACATAATTATTTATATCTAGGGAACCCCAAACATTTATATCTATAAATGCTGTCTCTTAACATCTTAGATGTCTCAAGTATAGCTCCCTCACGGTGGACATGACACAGCAAGGATTAGCTAGTAGTGCAACATAGAATCAATGACTTTAAATTAGAGTGATTAATTTTTCTCCCATTTTACAAGTGGTTGTCTTTCTGCCAAAATGTCAGAATGTTTTACGTAATTCACACTACCATTATAGTATAAATTAAAACAAACAAGCAAACAAAAAAACAGACCATTCCCAGGTTTTTGTCCAATGCAGATTTGGGTAAGAAGGATCACCACAGCTGTAGAAATATATATAAAGCAGAGCCTGCCTGTTTTGGAGACAGTTGCAAAGGGACAAGGCTCTTGCACATAGTTTTTAAAAATCCCAGTTTAAGGAAGACTGTGGTTTGGTTTTGTCATGAATTGGTATGGGATAACAATAAAGTGAATGGCTAAGAATATGGAAGCTGGGGTCTCCCGGGTGGCACAGCGGTTGAGCACTGGGCTGCGAAGCTGCCTGCAGCTTCTGCAGTGCCGCTTCAATCCCCGGCTGCCAGCGAGTGTCCCACATGGTGCGCAGACCTCTCCTGCCATGCCTGCTGCTCCCCTCAGCAGTGTGTTTCCTCAGTCTGCCTGTTCTGTTCCCTGCTCTGGCTCTGGTGAATTCTCTCACCCTCCCACGCTTCTGACTGTACCCAGTGCTTGTATAAATAAATTAATTAAAAAATATATTAAAAAAAAGAATATGGAAGCTTAAGAAGAGGTTTCAGTCACACAGGCAGAGACAGAGTTCAACACCGCCATTGCCACAGGAGATTCAGAACTTAAAATCCACCTTCGTCATCTCTCATTTGTTTCCTGATGTCATTCAGTCATTCTTAACTAACCCTTTCCATTTTAATTATTAAATTGTGATTCCCAGCAAACTTTTGCTGTCAAGACTCTCAGTCGAGAGAAGGCAGGCAACTTCCTTTGAGAATTATGTTTTCTATCAGCTATATTTAAACTTTGCTTTTTAGCTTCCTTCATAATTTTATTTGGGCATCTCTCATAGTGAAAAATAATTCTGCTCTGATGCATCCTGAAGTCATTTTCTTCCTTTATCTTTCTTCTTTCAATTCTCTTATCATCAGCTCTTCCATTGGGGTGATTCTGATTTACACCTCACTGGTTTTACACCTCACTGCGGTATGACTGACTCCTTAGGTGAGATATTGTCATCGTTAGAAAACTGGTATCTGTGGTTGAGGTTTTTGTTATGTGATGTGTGATATGTTGCAGAGGACAACCTAGTACATACGTGGCTCCTTAGAGTATGTGAATCTTCCATATAGTCCCAGCTGAGAAAAAATACAATCAGAAAGACAACTACTAATCTCAAATCCTTCGGGAACAAAAAACTAGGTGAAGACCAAAACTGCTTTAAATTTTGTCTTACACATTTTGAAGAATGTATTTACTAATATTTTTTTAAAAAAAGATTTATTTATTTATTTTTATACAAGAGTTGGGGTACAGGCCAGACGCGTGGGAGTTTGAGAGGATTCACCAGCGACAGAGCGGGGAACAGAACAGGCAGATTGACCGAAATACACTGCTGAGGGGAGCAGAGAGCGCCACAGGAGAGGTCTGCC